TTCTCCATACACTGATCCATAGATTTCAGGAAATTCCGTCTAAATTTAGGCAGGATTTTATGTAGATACAGGCAACTTGACTCTAAAATTTAGATGAAAAGGTAAAGGAACTACAGTAGCCAAAACAATGTTGAAAAAAAAAGAAAAGTTGGAGGATTTACACTATTTGGTTTTAAGACTTACTGTTACACATATGGATGAGTTCAACAGACTAAAGGGTTTTAAAATGGATGCTCATAAAATAGTCAATTAGATTTTGTTGTTTGTTTTTAGAAACAGGATCTTGTTCTATCTCCCAGTCTGGAGTGCAGTGGCTCAATCGTAGCTCAAAAAGAATCCTCCCACTTCATCCTCCCTAGTAGCTGGAACTACAGGCATGTACAACCACACACAGCCAATTTTTCTTCTCTTTCTTTCTTTCTCTTTTTTGGTAGAGACAAGGTCTCACTATGTTCTAAATTTTCTAGGCTGGTCTCAACCCCTGGCCTCAAACAATTCTCCTGCCTTGGCCTCCCAAAGTACTGGGGTTACAGAAGGTGCTGTCTATAAGAAAGTGGGCCTTCTCCACACACTGAATCTGCCAGCATCTTAGACTTGGACTTCCAGTCTCCAGAACTGTGAGAAATAAATTTCTGTCATTTATAAGCCATTTTGTCTACGGTATTTTGTTGAAGCAGTCCCAGTGGTCTAAAACTTGGTATGATTTCATTTATACAACAGTCTGAGAAGGCAAATCCATGGGGAGAGAAAAGAGATCAGTGGTCACCAGAGGTAGGCAGGGTGAGGGGGAAGGGGGAATGATTTGACTACAAAGGGGTAGTACAAGAAAAAACTAGGTGCAATGAAACTGTTATGTGGTCATTACATGAATCTATACACATGTTGAAACTCATATAACTCTATGCCAAAAAAGCCAATTTTACTGTATGTAAATTTTTAAAATAATACATAAATAGAAGTTGAAAGACTATGCTAACAGAAAAGAATTTATTGTGTTGGCAGATTGTAAGCCTCACAGTTAAGACAGTCAGATATATAATTTATTTATTTATCAATGTGTCAGGAATTTGTTAAGAGGTTTATATAAATTAATAAAAGTTATAAATACCTTGCAATAAATATTTTCTTACATGTCTTTGGAAGTTCTTTCTAGAAATATTGGTGCCAAATATTTTTCAGATGGAGCTTAGATGGCAAGAGACTGGCTGTCTTTTTGCTTACAATTACACCATTTTTACTCCTCCATGAAATCCTTGTTATCAAACCTTGCCTAGTTTTTATGCAATAAAAGAAATATTTCTATGTTGGCAATTCACCTGACTTGAAGGCAATCAAAGCAAATCAAGTATATATTAGGCTTATTCACAAGAAAGGTAGACCAATCCCTGAATTATATACCAATCATGAAAGAAAGTAGGGAATGGCCCGGGGATAAGGTAACTTCTGCCCTCACTTTCTACCTCACCCTCTATTTCTTATTAGCTGTTCCTCAAGCAAGAAGGAAGTTAGGAAAAGAAACCTGATTTTTCAGAGTCTGGAATTCTTTGGGTGAAACCATGGCACTGAAAAGGCATTGAATTTGTGAACATACCTTCTTTCTCTTCCTGGAATTAGGCCAAGAAATATCCTCACTTTCCCTTGTGTACTTTGTCACATTTAATACCAATGGTCAGTGGTCTTTTGTCTCTTGTTCCTCTTTGACTTTGTCGACAAATTAGTAATAATTCCTTGATATTTCCCCACAAAACCAAGAGCACTGTATTAGAAGTACAGAACTCCTCCCATAAATGTTGTTCCTCCTGAATGTAAAATATTGCTATAGCCACAGCCTAAATAACCTGGATCAGTTTAGTATTATGGGACAAATATATTTCTCCATATTGGTTGTGTCACCCCCTGTCCTTTGGCCTTGGTAGTATGCTTCTTAGCTTTCTCATATTGCTCTTGAAATTTTCTACCTTCAGTTTATGGGGATGGGAGAGGGAGCAATAAAGCAATTTAGGAAAAGGAAGCAAGAGGCCTCATTTTGGTCTTTAGCCTAAGTCATGTAGCCTAGCTCAATTTCTATTTAGGTATACATGGTACTTACAGAGAAATTTATATGTATACTTTATACCTCATTTAACTGTTAATAATTTTGTATATTTCCTTTAGAGGGAAGCATAAATAAGTGATGGGCTTCAAGTAATTAAATCCTTAAAAAATTAGTAGTCATGCCCCTTACCTTTAAGGGGTTTGAAAACTGGCATGCACAAAATTAAAACCCTCCTAAATGATAGTCTATTCATAATAAGAGAAAGAGGATAAAATAGAATTGAACTGTCTGCCCCTGAAAAACTGCAAACTGAAAAACAACCCAAATACCCTGTTCAACTTAAGCTATACTCTTTACAATCTATAGACTAACTGAAACAAGAAAATATAACAATATTTTATGGCATATAAAACTGAATCCTAAATAGGGTTAATAAAGTCTCATTCTAGTTCTCCCTCATTCCATTGTACTTCTGGACTAGAACTTGTTCTACAAATGTCTGTCAGTTTTCACCTTTGCCTTTAAGGTAAAGAGCCAGGAGAATCATTCAAAGGCAGACCAGTCAGCTGAGGCAAGTTCAGAATTATACCTCAGGGTTCTTGCCCTCCTGTGCTAAAATCCAAAAAAGCTACAATGTGCTTTGAAGGGCACAGTACCCACTGACCCAATTTTATGAATAACTCCTTGTTAATTTATTGTTATATTCATCTTGGCTTATATAACACGCTTTTAATAATTTTGGAGTGATCTTAGCATATGACCCTGTTTCTTCCCTTTCTGAGTGTTAGGTTAGCTTGGAAAAAAGGGGTGGGAGTGTATTTTCTTTAACTAGTACAAAACATCTGGATTCCCAGATTATTATAGAGATTTAGAAAAGCAATAGGCAAGAAATTAGGTTGCAGTGCTGAAAATCTTGTGGAGTTCAAAAGCAATTCATTGTTCTGCTTTTCTTTCAGAATAATACACATCTCTATATGAATTAGAAAACAAATGATCCATAAATTAGAAGGTAAGTTGACATTTTTAGCACCCTGTTCTTATTGTCCCAAATGCTTATGATTTTTCAAGAGAACCCCAAAATTGAAGAAGTGACACAAACAAAGAAACAAACAATGTTTCCCCAGAGGTTTTTGTATCTATCCTATCCGGGTCAATTTATGCCATCTCTGACAGTTATGAATAACTTCTACTTTCCACACAGAACAAAACACTAATACAAAACTTGAAAGCAAAATGGCAAAATAAAGTTCTGTCCAAATTGTGGGCTCTTTAAACCAAGCCAGTCCACTCCAGAAATTCCCCACTGTTTATTACACTAGCCATCACTCACGATCTTGCTTTTAGAAAAATGCCAAGTTAACATCACCCAACAACCCTAACTCTTGGACAACACCATGTCCTTCCCCTCCTTGGAATGGAAAGGATATGCTGAGTCTCTGGCTACAGCTGACCTTGGAGTCAGTGAGATGTTTTGTCGGGAAGAGAGATTGTGGGAGAAAAAGACAGATTGTGAGGTCAGAAAACTCCATTTGAGACTAGCAAGATTATCTGGAACCAGCCTCCCTGGGGACGGTAGAGTAGGTAGAGTAGCATTCCTTAACTCTCAGGGTAATTAGGAGATCAAATGACATAGCAGCATGAAACTGCTTTGTAAAGTGTTAAGTGCTGTATAAATGCAGCAAAGAGTTGTTTTCCAACTTCCTTGCTCCAGTGTTGGTTGAATGTCCTTCACTATATGGAACAATTTCCTCCCTTGAGTTCTTTAGGATGGGCGTGGGAAGAGCTCCTGGGCATTCCTTTAAGGTGTTCCTCTAAGAACCACTGCCTGTGGTAAAGGCAGAACCTGCAGAAACTCATCCCTCCCTTCCCAGCTAGTATTCTGAGGGGGAAGGGGAGGGGACTGACTTCCTCTTCTCAAGTTTTGCTAATTGAATTTTCTGAAGACTCAATTCTTCCCTTAAAAAAATGCATTATGCCTTTTCTCCCCAGCCACCTGAAGCCCATGACCACAGCAAATGCATACCAGTCTTTCAAGTTAAAGACCCCTGGAACAAAGCTAGAGTTCTAGGCCCCTCCAGTCTTTCCCACTCCCTGTTTTCCACGGCCGTCTCTAAAGAAATCAGACCCTAAAATGTGTGTGAGAGAAATACTTTGGATCTACCCCTAGAGACAGCGTCGGACGTTCACAATGACCTCGCTTTCCCCCGCTTCCTCGCTTAGCCCGGCCTCACTTGCTCCAGTGGGGCGGACTCAAATGCACACGCACGCACACGCTGGCAAGCTGGTCAACCGCAGACAAATCTGACTCTTCGCCAACTATTAGCCACGGAGAGCAGCAAAGGGACCAAGGTCCTTCACCGCCTGCTCCAAAAAGACACTGTAACCTCCAGCAGCGCCGCAGTAGCTGCCTCTGTGCTGCAGCCTCGGGTCGGAGTTTCAGGTCTAATTCCTTAAGGAGTATCGCTCCTCTGCCCTTCGTCCTACTCCCCTTGGCTTCGCCCACTTCGCCTCCTTCTCCTCGGGAGGCCAGGAGGACCCGGGTCACTTTGCCAATTCTGCGGAGGGGGAAGTAGCAGTGAAGGAGATTCCCACGCAAGTAGCCCGAAGCCCACTACTCTCCGCCCCACCTCTCCACTCTCTCGCCCGTGTAGGTGCCGGTGCTGCTGGCCAAAGTCCCAGTTCTTAAGGCGCCTGAGCTCGGATGGGTGTGGAGGAGCTAGGTGGGAAGAGGAGCGGCGGTACTGGGGCGAGGAAAGGCTGGAGATTGTTAGAGGACAGACGGGGCGGGACTGGCGAGAGGGGCGAAGGCGACGCGCCGAGGCACTCCCCGGCCCCTGAGCGCAGACAGTTAACTCCAACACGCGCAGATGGGCCGTAAGGTAAAGAGGCCTTTTCTCCCTCTCCTCTCCGTCCTCTACCCCGCTTCCCTACTAGATACCTGGTGAAAAAGCAAGGTGCGGTGTACCTGGAGCGAACACCATGATTTCCTCCAGCCGCTACGCCCCTAGGTTAAGAGAGAAAGACAGGCAGACGGAGGATGGGAAGAAGGCCGGACTTGGCGGCGTCCGGCGCAGGAGAGCGCCCTGGGCGGACGGCGGGCGGGACGGTCAGCACCACGGACAGCTCCCGCCGTTAGCTCCTGGGGCCGAAGCTCCAACCGCCGCGGCGCGCTCTCCCTCCACAATGCACCGCTGCGCCCGCGGCCACCGCGGCGGCGGGAGGAGGAGAGTGAATCCCCGCTCAGTCCATCCCTCATTCCTGTGCCAGCTCGGCGGCGCACACTGATCCTTAGGGAGCAAAGCACTTCCACCGCTTTCACGCGACGAGGAAGGACGGAAGAGGAAGAGAGGGAAAGGTAAACTTCCCAGCAGGGGGACAGTTAATTGCTTTTAATTACCTGCTGTGGCTCGCCCCCGTGGATATTGGACTGACATTTAAGACAGGTTTGTCAAAAGAAAAAAAGGAAAAAGAAAAAAAAAAACCACCTCTAAAAGCTTTCTTTACTCTCGAGGATGACGCTGAGTTCTCCGAGTTGGGCTTGAACAGAGGGGCGGGTCTGTCAAGTTAATAGGTCCTAGAGGTCCGTGAGTCCTCTCTTGCGAGTCCCAGTCCTCTGCTAACGTCAGAAGAGAGCAGGAGGGAAGGACAGAGTGACTATTATGGAGGGCTCGAGGAGGGCGCCACTGTCAGGTTCCGCTCCCAGGTGGCAAATCCGGCTCTGAAAATTCCTAAGCTTGAAGGTCCTCAAGGTCATCACCTTAGAAAAAGCAAGACCTGCCAGGGCCCTGGAAAGAGAACTCATACACCCTTTACAAGGATGAGCCAACAGAGCCCCCTGCAAGTGTGAGCACAGCCCTGAGATCAATCAAGAAACATCAGTTCTTCTCCTATCCTTACCCAGTTGAAAACCGTGCCTGCATCCCCCCTACCCCATACACCCAGTTCTACCTTAAAGGTACTGGGACTGCCTTATGCTCACTTCAGGCTCCTAATCATTGCTCATTTTGGGTACTTATTCCCCAATAATGTTTGTGCAGTGTGAACAGCCCACACTAGATGTCACCCAGCTTGAAACAGGTCCATGTGGGTTACAAACCCAAAGCTAAAGCCACCCAGAATCTCCAGCCTCTCCTCCATTTTTCCAGCTAAATAAGGTTTTCCAAGAACAAAGGTAATCAAGGTCATCTCCAGTGTTTTATGGGGTTTCTTCACTTGCAACTATCCCTGGAAAATGTAACTATTCTGAAAATTAAGTATTTCTTAATAATTGGTTGATGGCTATAAGTTCTAGAGTCTTTTGGCAAATGTAAAGCATCCAAATAACCTTATTGGCACTGGTTTTGTTGAAAGCCATCTGATAGATTAACAATGCAAATAGTTTTACAGCTTTTGAACTACAGTTTGCATGGAGGCATATGGGCAGCCTCATCATAATACAATCAGTATTGCTCTTAGCACCTGGCTCAACACAGGCTTGAACATATGGGTCCTACCCCAGCAGCAACAAGAGGCAAGTCAGCTGATGGGCAGGATGAAGTGTGTGCACGACAGGATGGAGTTCTCCCATTTTGCCAAGTTTCTCCAGTGATACTTCACTCTGTCTTCTTCATCCCATGGTAAGTGTAAAACAGTATTTAAATAATTTTTGGATGAAAGGTGTTTTTCTTTTTCTTTTTTTTTTTTTTTTTTTTTGAGGCGGAGTCGCTCTCTGTCGCCCAGGCGGGAGTGCAGCGGCCAGATCTCAGCTCACTGCAAGCTCCGCCTCCTGGGTTTACGCCATTCTCCTGCCTCAGCCTCCGGAGTAGCTGGGACTACAGGCGCCCGCCACCTCGCCCGGCTAGTTTTTTGTATTTTTTAGTAGAGACGGGGTTTCACTGTGTTAGCCAGGATGGTCTCTATCTCCTGACCTCGTGAACCGCCCATCTCGGCCTCCCAAAGTGCTGGGATTACAGGCTTGAGCCCCGCGCCCGGCCAGGTGTTTTTCTTTTAACACACTCAGAAGTGCTCTCTTTTAGCCCTTATGTTTAAATGGGCTTTCATCTCCCAGTACATAAACAGTTACCCATGATTAAGTTCAAGAAAAAGCAATATAGTATAGGAAGAACAACAACAAGACTTGAGAATCAGTCAGACTGAGACCCAGGTACCACATCTTCACCATTTACTAGATGCATGACGTTAAATAAGTTACTTAACCTGCCCTATCTCATCTGCAATATAAGGATTAAGGTATCTTAAAGATTTGTTGTAAGGATTAGCTGTAAGATGGGTTAATGGATTAATTAAGAGAGAGCACAGTCTCAATTAAACTCATTCCAGGAAATCACTGGCACCCTGGGAGTAGAGTACACCCCATGGGAAAGCAAACAAAATATGTTAGATCAGTGTTTCTCAAACATTAATGTGCATAAGAATCCTATGGAGATCTTTTTAAAATAAAAGATTATGATTCAGCAGTGATATGGTTTGGCTGTGTCCTCACGAAATCTCAACTTGAATTGTATCTCCCAGAATTCCCACGTGTTGTGGGAGGAATCCAGGACGAAGTAATTGAATCATGGGGGCTGATCTTTCCTGTGCTAATCTCATGATAGTAAATAAGTCTCATGAGATACGATGGTTTATCAGTATCAGAGGTTTCCGCGTTTGCTTCTCTCTCATTTTCCTTTGCCGCTGCCATGTAAGAAGAACCTTTCGCCTCCAGCCATGATTCTGAGGCTTCCTCAGCCATATGGAACTGTAAGTTCAATTAAACTATTTTGTTCCTAGTTTCAGGTATGTCTTTATCAGCAGAGTGAAAAAAAAAACTAATACAAACAGTTAGGTCTTGAGATTCTGAATTTCCAACAAGTTCCGTGGTAATGTCCATGCTGCTGGTCTATGGAGTAAACTTGGATAGCAAGGTATCAGAGGCATCAGCCTTTTAAAAAGAAGGAAATTACTTGTATCTTTCCAACCTCAGAGCTTATCTTTTTGAGTTTTAAACAAAGAAGGAACTCAGATGGATTCCCATAGACTACCAAGATAAACAGTAGCCAAGATGGTAGTAGAAAGAAAGAATGCCTGAAAATGGTCCTGGGGCTCCTCGGGCTATGTGATTAGCCTTCAGCAGCAAAAGGAGGTAGTAAGAATCCAGCTCAAGAGGTCAAGAACAGAGAGAAAATAAACAAATCTTCTCAGCCCCATCCTCAGCTCTTTTCTGCCCTTCTTCTTCCCATCCTCCCTTCATTTTTTTCTACCCAACACCACTAGCCAGAGGATGATATATTCCGAATCCAGTTTTTGTGCGCATATATTTTAGTCAGAACCTTTGTTTTATTTCCAATAAAACCAAGGCACTTCAATGATTTTTCTATTTTATGCTGTCATTTATTTCACCAGTAAATTTTACAGTCAACAATACTATCTCCGATGTTTACTACTACTTGGCTCATTATTCTGTTAGCTTTATTGAAACACCCTAATAATGCTAGTAGACTTTTTTTGAGACAAGCTCTTATTCTGTTGCCCAGGGTGGAGTGCAGTGGTGCCATCTCGGCTCACTGCAACCTCCACCTCCTAGGCTCAAGAGATCCTCCCACCTCAGCCTCCCAAGTAGCTGAGACTACAAGTGCACACCACCATGCCCAGCTAATTTTTGCATTTTTTAGAGACGGGCTTTTGCCATGTTGCCCAGGATGGTCTTGAACTTCTGAGCTCAAGCCATCCACCTGCCTCAGCCTCCCAAAGTGCTGGGATTACAAGTGTGAGCCACTGCCGCAGGCCTTAGATTTTTTCTTATGTCTTTACATCTTAATATAAATGATCAACTTAACAATAGAATGCCTGATAGGAAAATGAAAGCCTCCTTTTATTCCATTAGTATAAGAACCAGATTATCTTTGATGGACCATTTATCCAGTTTTACCCCACAATGAGGTTCTCAGTAATATTTTGCTCTCTGTTTAAACACCTCCACTCAGAATGACTCACTCTCTACTCAAACAGTTGACTGCATTTGAAGGCAGCCATTTGTCAGAGAGTCAGCTACCATCACCACGTACCCCATTCTGACTTTTAGCACTGTCATATCTGGTCAATTATGGGAATAGTGATAGGAAGCAAGATAGTAAACAAAATGTTGGGGCATCCACTAGATGCTTAACAGGGTACTGAATGAATGAGAAGGCACAGGAGGAAAAAGTTTCCTGTAGAACCAATGATTTTACTTGGAAATCTGGTAAAATTTCTAATTAAAAAGTGAGCATGGATACATTATAAAATAGAATAAAAATTCATATGATATATAAACATTACATTGGAGACCCTAAAGAAATCACCATCGGCAGATTAGAGCTGTAACTCTCAGATTTCCCCAAGTCTGTATCCATTCACTCTAACATTCATTTATTATACTCTCTCTTTAGAGCTTAAGCAAATAAAAAATGTTGAAAACACATCCTGAAACATTCCAATTGCCCCAGTTATTTTTAGCATACCTTGACTCCAACCATTCCCTGATACTTTCCACTTTATGCTTATTTTAAATAGATCATTCAATCTACTACATTTAAAAATAATTTTAGCATCCCTAAGGCAGTTGAAATAGGTTTAAAAGAGGCATTTTCATTATAAAGCATTAAATTATAATTGTTTCCAAAATGTCTTGGCTTATAGGTTTCAATGATTACAGAAATAAAATGATTGAAAATAACTATTTTCTTTTTCTAAAAGCTGCTGAAAGTTGTTGAATTGGGCCTAAGGAGGACACAGAAGTGAAGTAAAACAGAAATATTAAAAAAAACAAATGAAAGAATGTGGTATACAGAGAGATGGAAATAGAAAAACTGAATAAGGAAGAAGACATTAAAAACCAATCTTTGTGCTACTCAATCTATAAAGACTTAAAGAAAGTAAGATAAAAATATATAGAGAGAGGGAAATGGCATGAAAAGAAAATAAAAACAGAGATAGAAGGTAGGATATAGAGGAATGGGGAATAAAAATAATAACTTACTACATTAAAAAATAGAAAATATTAAAGGATATTGCAGGCTTGAAGAGTATAGGACACTGTCTCTGTAGGTTTGCATTTTATGAAGCAGTTTATGAGTGCTGCTGGATGCTTTAAAAGAGAATATAAAACAGCTATATTTGCTGAAAGAAAAACATCAGCAAAACTTTCTTATTGAAAAAAATTTCATTAGAATAGTTAATATTTTGCATTATGTTTACACAAAATGAATATTTTCTTGGGGAAAAAAAGCCTTTGAAGATCTTTTCCACTACCAAAGAGCTATGCATCCATGCTCATTTATGTAGAAAAGTTTTTCCCAAATCACCAAATGATATTATTTATCATATTAGATGACAGGAGATGGAAGATTAGTTGAAGACAACATTCAAAATAAAACCTATTTGGTTAGTTTATAAGGAGAAGCATAAAGCATTCAACTAACTTAGCTTTCAACTCATATTCAAAATTGTGCATACACATTATAAAACTTTATCCAATAAATTCTGAATGTATAAATCTATCTATTTATAGCTTCCACACTAAGTCAATTTAAGAAGAAATAATGGGAAAAATTGAAAGAGAAAAATGGAAAGAAAAGAAGTGAAGAGAGAAATTAAAAGATGGAAAAGGAATAAGGAAAGGAGAATGAAAAGAGGAAGGAAACAGAAAAATAAGGAACAGCATACATAAGGGAGAAATATACAAAAGACAGAAAAGATGCATATTCAGAAGAGATTTTTGAAAAATAGGAGAAAGAGAAAAAAGATAATTTTTAAAAATATCACAAAGAGGAGAGCCTAAATACAGTCCAAATTGAGAAACTGAAAGCTCTTCTTATATCCTGCTCACTTAGGCTGTATGTTTGAGAGTAAATTTAATCACTGCCTTTGGAAACACTTATTAATTTTAAAGCAATTGTTGAAAGCTCTTCATCTTTATTCAAGGGCTCCATTCAGAATTGGTGAGGGTCATGGTACTCTACACAGGGATTTCAGTGTCGGAGAAGAATTGTTCTTTAGAATATGACAGCTAAGATCATTGTAATAGTGACTAACTGGTTACTTTTAAGCTTCTATTAAAAATCAACTGATAACATTGAAATTCTTTGCAACCTTGGGGTAGGCAAAGATTTCCTAGATAAGACACAAAGAGCATGGGTCATAAAAGAAAATAATAGATAAACTGAACCTCATCAAAATTAAAAATTTCTGCTATTTGAAAAATGCTGCTAAGAAAGTGAAAAGGCAAGCTACAGACTAGGAGGAAATATTCACAATACATATATCTGACATACATATTTGTAACTCTTGCAACTCAATAAGATGACAACCCAAATTAAAACTTACCAAAATATTTGAACAAACACTTCACAAGAAGAATACAATATGAATGGCCTGTAAGCACACGAAGACTTCTCAACATCATAAACCATCAGAGAAATATAAATTAAAGCCACAGTAAAGTATTAAGTACCTACCCAGTAGAATGGCAAGAGTTAAAAAGACCGACAATGTTGCGTTGATGAGATATGGAGCAACTAGAAGTCATTTACATTGCTGGTAAGAATGTAAAATGTTTACTTGCACTTTGGAAAATAGTTTTATAGTTTCTGGTAACATTATATATACATTTCCTGTAAGACTCATTAGTTCCACTCCTAGGTGGTTACCCAGGA